TATAAATTTCCAGAAGATAATTCACAGAATTTTATACATTACTCGGATAGATATAGTGATTTTCATACTATTATCAACCCAGTAAAGCCTCAAGTGTTACTCAAGCCTGATTTTAAGAATCTTTGTGGATAATATGATATACTGATAAAAGTTTGACTATTTAACCCATAGTTGGGTACAAAAGTGGTGGATTCATAACTTTCCAAAGGATATTTGCGAGTAAATGAGTATAAAAGCACTCAACTGGAATTGGAGTTCAAACTTCTGACTCGTCATTCATAACACCGCCTTTTTCTTTGCGATCAGAAAGAAAAAAGAAAAAAAACGAGAAAAATTAGGTGAAATATTTAATCAAGTTAACTTGTCATAATATAATAATTTAATATAATATAATATAAAAGGCTCAAGCACATTATGAAATATTAGTGTTTGACTCTTTTATATTATTTCTTGCTCTGTCTTTCACATAGATTTCTACATGGATTTTATACTCTTGGAATATATATATATATATATATATATATATATATTGAACATATATATATATATATATATATATATATATATATATATATATATATATATATAGGTGTGTGTGTATAGATAGGTGTGTGTGTGTTCCCGACATAAATACATGAGAAAGTGTGTCTGTAGCACGCATATATATATATATATATATATATATATATATATATATATATATATATATATATATATATATATATGTGTGTATTTGCTGCAGACGAAATTTATCGTATTTATGTCCACGGAACTGAAACAGAGGGGAAAACAGAAGGCGAATAAAAATGCTTTCATTGAAAAAAATTATGTGCAAAGTGTTCACCGAACGGATGAACGATCGGACCAAAATCCGCACAATCCCGCCGTTGGATAAAGCAAGTTTTCTGCCCGAATACATTTATTCTTCTCATTGTCACAACCATTCATTATGTTTTCGACCCAGTTTCGAGATGAGAGCTGAGATGAGGTCGACTAGTAAACGGTGCATCACCCATATTGCTATTGCCATCTCTTAACTACATTATTCTGCTCTTCTCCACTATTCATAAACGTTCAGCAGCCGTCGATGAATATAATTTGGGACAATTTTACCGTAAGGATGAATTCAATCGTAAATTTATACTTCCTACGAACACCTTTTTTTCCACAGATTGTTCCTAAATCATTCAGTTAAGTGTTATACGTGATACACGCTTGGCAGATCATGTTACTTTCGATTCTGAGTATGCAGAAGATTTTCCATCAGTAAGCCTCCGTTTCTTTCTACCGCGGACTGGGTTCCAATCAAGGCTATAGGATTCAGTTTGTGCTGTTATTCAACCCATAGTTGCGAGTCTGAAAGTTGGATTTATACCTTTCCCAGGGATATTTGCAGCAAGTGAAAGTAACGTACATGATTGGATTTAGAACTCGACTTTCTGATTTCTTTTATCCAATAAACCACATCGAACCTCTAAGTATCTAACTATAAAAAGGAACAATATAGGTTATCAGAAGGAAGGCCGTACCTCTGCGGTCAAATGGTCAATAACCTATTCTAATTTTGTGTCAAAATATAAATCAGAGTTAATCTTTACATAAGAAGTCTTGCATATTTATTTGTCAGATATAACGAGATCTGAAAGTATAACATACTTTTAAAAAATAATTTAAAATAAATAATCTATAATTATATATTATATGAGAAAGCTATCTATGACGTTATGTCCCAGAGTCTCAGAAATTTGATATTTAGTATTTCTGGTAAGAAGAATCATTATATGATATCAATACCAAATACAAATTAAATTACTATGAAAACGGAATATCTTATCCATAAATAGGAAAATTTCGTATGGCAATATATTACTTGATTTTTAGAGATTAAAAAGTAATTTAGAATTAATTTTTAAACAACAACAGTACAGTTAATTTATAAATAATTTTCCAGAATGCATATGCAACGAAATTGTTAAATTATTTTCATCATTTAAGTCATCATTTTTATCGTTTGTGTAATCTTGTGACTGAATAAATACCACCAGAAATAAATTAATCCCATTTATTTGATACTAAATTATTAATAGTACATTTTTTAGTATTTCAGTTATGTATGGCAGAGTCAAATGTTTCGTACAAATATTTCTACATTTCTCATTAATATATTTTTGGGGCGAAAAGTGCTTGTGGAATAGTTTGTATTGATGCAAATTTCAAAATATCTATAGATTGTAAAACTTTCAAGATTAACATATTTGTTTTAGTACCTGCATCACTGTCGAAATTATTTACATATGGAGTAGAGAATAAAGTACAGAGAAGATTGTTTTAGTCTCATTATTTTTTGATTTGACGATATTCTGGAATATTTGTTTTATTGTTTTGTAAATTAGTGTTATTGACAGCCCATAATGTGTAAATGTAGGGATATTTTTATTAGCAATTAAATAAAAATAATATATAAAATAAAAATAACAATGAAATTTATAAATAATATAAAATAAAACAGTAATATTTAAAATATGTTTAAAATAAATTAAATACAACATAAAAATAATAAAATCTTTCCCAGCATGCAACAAAAACTGTTCCTGCCGGAAATAAGGACATCCAACTAAAAGACGTTAAATTCAATCTCTTCATCACTAACCTTCGTACCCTTGTTCCCTATGTGATATGACGTGTAATAATACGAAGTAACTTCTGCCTATCATTAAATGTACCATAAAACTATAGTAACCTAAAAAAATGCACACACATACCAATATAAACAAAAAAAATTGAGTGATTTGTTATTTACCACGCTTTCCTTCCATTTCTGTAGGTTTTATTTCCTGTCATTTATGTTTATATCTCTGTGAACACTAGGATAATTTCTGCTTTTGTGATCTGAGTGAGTCCCCACCTAATCGGAATGTAAAAATCAAGCGGTTACAGAAACTTAATTATCGGTGTAGTTTAATAACAACGACTGAAAATGTCACACAGAAATACAATAGCGTAGAATTTTCGCGAAATATGATTTTGAGAATCTATTCAATGTAGTAAGAGATAGAATTATACCTTGATAGACACATATGTAATAATTAATGGTCAAGAAAAGACCTGTAAATTTTAACACCTGCAAAGCAAAACTGCTTTCATTTTACCACCACAAATAATCTTTTCTGTCAGCAATCAGCATGGCTGACGAGAAACACGTGGAGAACAACATTCCACGCTTTCTTGGCCTCAAGGTTTTCACTGACATGAACAGAACCGACTATATCGAATGAATTGCTACGCCTGCTGCAAGTTAAGTTGTTTCACTGTGTCGTACCAGACATTTTTCTAGTTAAAATCCGTCGTGCTCATTTATAAATCTACCACCCGCCCGTGATTTGATTACTGTTGCCATGTCTTGCCGTGGGCTTCGGTTGTACATTTTTGCTTGACAAAATCCAAAGAAGGGTATGTAATATAATCAGCCCTGATCAGGAATCTCAGCTTCATTCACTTTCTCACAGACATAATGTAGTTTCTCTTTGTCGTTTCTAAAGATATTTCCATGGCAATTGTCCTGATGAACTTTTATCTGTAACAATGCCACTCATTGTTCTAACACATGGTGTGTGATGTATCTCTCGTTGCTGCATCTTATTTTAAAAAAAAAACACGCGAACGCAAATTTGATTTAGACCAAGAGTGATTTCTTCCTGGTTTATTTTTCCGCTTGGGTGAATTGATAAATGAGAGAGAGAAAGACGACTAATGGCGGTTCTAGCGGCTTTCTACAGGTACGACATCTTAATTCCGTCCGCAACTGGCCGAACCACGGGTCAGTTCGTGCGTTTCATAAGTTTACGTACGTTTCGCTTACAATCTTCCCACCTCTCGCAAAACTCGCCAGCAAGCTCCAATTAATACCAAAATTCTTCCTTTCATATTTCGCGTTTGGTGTGATGGAACACACCAGGTTCCTTCTCGGGATGCTTCTAGAATCATGTAGAAAGGATCAGATTTCTTTCGAACCATCTCGAATCGGAAGTCTATTGTCATTTATTTATATCTTTATTTATTCAACTGATCAGATTACCGGCCTTATTACAACTACCACTGGTCGATCGCATTCAACGTGGAATCATAGCGTGCTCCTGAGCCGTGTTGATTTTTCTCATTGAGGGGTCGACTTTAAAAGCTTTTCATAGAATAACATCTATTTTTTGTCGACTGGATTACAACTCAGCCCACATGGTAGAAATTTCTAGTGTTGCTAAAAATCCCTTCATTTTTGTTTTCTTAAATTAAGTTTTAAACATAAATTTGCGCAGAAATCTTTCATATGGCATCCATTACATTGCATTCTCTGTTACCCCGAAAACACAAATCAAAGCGTGCTACTAGATTGGCAACTAGGTCTCACTGTTTCACTTTTGAACTAGATAGATGCAACCGTCACTTCTATTCTAACAGTTTCTTTTCTCGCCATCTCCCAACTGTGGAACCCCATTCCGATTTTTTTACTTCCATGATAAGTAAAATTTAAGCACCACATCACTCACCATTCTCCGTCTTCTTGAAACCTGATCCTTTTTCACACATTCTTCGATCCTCCCCATTCTCAATCTTTTTATTCTCCTTCACTCCCTTTAACCCCATGCGTTCTACTGGCATTATCGCTTTGCTTGGGGTGAAACAATTAAAAACAATGTCAGTGAACGCTAGAAAATGAAGACGAGACTGGAAGCGACAATGATGTATCTACTGAGATGAATGACATGAAGAGAAGATATGAGCAGCGAGCAAGTGTTAGCGAAGATAGAAACAACAATGGAAATTATCATCAAATCTTATGGAGTCCACTTTTCTCTGCACATAAATGACAAAAATTTGATATTTCTCAATATTATATTCTTAATTGATAACTTACATATACAGACACATTTTGTGGAAGGAAACATTTAAAAAAAAATGCCTGCTAGATTCGAAACTCACTTATGCATTAATACCAACAGAAAGAGTCAGTTGATTGTTGTAGAGCAGATAATGCGGATTGAGGACTTGGAAATAAGGAAAAAATAGAAGAAGAAGAAGAAGAAGAAGAAGAAGAAGAAAGAAACTAAGAAGAAAACGAATAATAATAAGAAGCAGAAAAAAACGACGAAGAAGAAGAAACGAAGAAGAAGAAAACGAAGAAGAAGAAACGAAGAAGAAAACGAAGAAGACGAAGAGGAAGAAGAAGACAAAACGAAGAAGAAGAAAACGAAGAAGACGAAGAAGAAGAAAACGAATAAGAAAAAAACGAAGAAAAAGAAACAAAGAAGAAGAAACGAAGAAGAAGAAAACGAAATAGAAAGCGAAATAGGAAACGAATAAGAAGAAGGAAACGAAGAAAAAGAAAAAACGAGGAAGAAAATAAGGAAGAAGAAGAAAAAACGAAGAAGAATAAGAAACGAAGAAGAAAACAAAGAAGAAGAAGAAGAAAACGAAGAAGAAGAAACGAAGAAGAAAACGAAGAAGACGAAGAAGAAGAAGAAGACAGAACGAAGAAGAAGAAAACGAAGGAGAAGAAAACGAAGAAGACGAAGAAGAAGAAAACGAAGAAGAAGAAAACAAAGAAGAAAACGAAGAAGAAGAGGAAGAAGAAAACGAAATAGAAAACGAAATAGAAAACAAATAAGAAGAAGGAAACGAAGAAAAATAAAACGAAGAAGAAAACGAAGAAGAAGAAAAACGAGGAAGAAAACAAGGATGAAGAAGAAAAAAGAAGAAGAAAACGAAGAAGATGAAGAAGTAGATGAAAAAAACGAAGAAAACGAAGAAGAAAAAACGAGGAAGAAAACAAGGATGAAGAAGAAAAAACGAAGAAGAAAACGAAGAAGATGAAGAAGGAGATGAAAAAAACGAAGAAAACGAAGAAGAAGAAAAAACGAGGAAGAAAACAAGGATGAAGAAGAAAAAAGAAGAAGAAAACGAAGAAGATGAAGAAGGAGATGAAAAAAAACGAAGAAAACGAAGAAGAAAAAACGAGGAAGAAAACAAGGATGAAGAAGAAAAAACGAAGAAGAAAACGAAGAAGATGAAGAAGGAGATGAAAAAAACGAAGAAAACGAAGAAGAAGAAAAAACGAGGAAGAAAACAAGGATGAAGAAGAAAAAAAGAAGAAGTAAACGAAGAAAACAATTATTATTTCTAAATGCTGGAATATAATGCTGGACTATTTCGCCAGAGAAGAGACTTGAAGTGACAGACACGTTTGCCCACCGAAAAATGATACGTCTAAAACAGACAAAATATGTTAGGAGAAAAAGAGGAACAACCAGAAAACTGATAGTTACAATCAAGAAGAGGTAGCCACATTTTTTGGAGACACTGATGAAAGCGACAACGAGAACTTAAATGCCACAAGATATATTCAAGAGAGAAGATGGGAAGTTACAGAGATCTGTGATCGAACATGTCCCGTAGAAACAGAACACGAAAAACGAATTCTATATGTAAATAAACAGCTCATCTGTGTACAAACAACATAAACACCAATGGAAACATCCAACCACATTTTTGCCTATTGAAAGAAAATATGGTTCATTGAGATTTGACCTAAATGTCACTTTAACATTTAATTTTTCAGATATTCCAGTGCCCGCGGCATAGCTCAAATTAATCGTTTTATTTTTAACAGAAAATTGGCTGGGAATTGAGTTCACCATATATAGGGATATATGTGCAAACTAAAATTGAAAGCAAATTATATTAGCTTTTGCTTCAATATAAATTTTAAAAATACTTTTATTTCAACTGTCTGATTTATAGCCTAACATCGAACTCGCTATTAATGACCGTATCCATGAACAATTATGTGGCTATTTAATTAAAGTAAGACAAAGTGGCCAAGGCGAATGTTTCAGTTATTATACTTTTTGGAAGAGGAAAAAAAAGCATTTACACACACGCAATTTATGAGCTGCAATGATATTGCCATAGAGACGATAACTTCGTGTTTCTTTTTTAACTTATTTGAAACATTTTTTTTTAATAATTTGCTTCTGCAAATCATGGCTCATAAACTAGAAAATTAATTAGATAGGTATCATGTTTTTTCATCATTTATTTTTAAAATGTTTTTGCAATATATCTAAACCTCTACGTGTAACTATCTCCATAAAAAGAGAGATATAAATTGTGTGAATGGTTGGAAAAGAACGAGAAATGACTTAGAAGAAAATGAAAAAGTTAACAATGGCAGGAAAAAAGGACAAAAATCTTGATGAAGTAGAAGGAATATTAAATACGATTGAAGATGGCAGTGCAATTTTTATTTTATTTATTTTAATACATTGAAGATAAATTCATGTATATTACACAACTAACTGAAAAGCAGCTCTATCGGGCGGCTTTTAACCTAGCTCCTGCGGAGAGCTCTTCATTGGGCATTTGTCAAAATAGTTAGAGGGATTAGATAAGATAGGCAAAAGTAAACTACAGAAGAGATCAAAATTGATAGATGTGTTTAAGTATTACATTTACATTTAAGCTTATCTTTTAAAAGTTTAACAATGATTATTCTTTCGACACTTAAATTAAAAACAATTTGATGTACGTGGGTCCTTAATTTCCGTACAGTATCTTTATTTTTTTTATTTCATGGGTGTCTTTATCAGGATTTCTCAATTAATTTCGATCGTTCCAAATTTACTTCCAAGTTGTAAAAATTCTTATCGTACAAAATTTGGTCGAAAATATCACGTAAAAAAAATCACACGAAAATAATTGCATTAATGAAAACTTGGAAATCGAGAATTTCAGGATTGCAGGAATGAAAACTTGGAAATCCAGAATTTCAGGATTGCATTAATGAAAACTTGGAAATCCAGGATTTCAGAATTGCAATAATGAAAACTTGGAAATCCAGAATTTCAGGATTGCAGTAGTGAAAACTTGGGAATCCATAATTTCAGGATTGCAGTAATGAAAACTTGTGTATCCGGAATTTCAAGATTGCAGTAATGAAAACATGGGAATCCAGAATTTCAGGATTGCAGTAATGAAAACTTGTGTATCCGGAATTTCAAGATTGCAGTAATGAGAACTTGAAAATCTGGAATTTCAGGATTGCAGTAATGAAAACTTTGAAATCCAGAATTTCAGGATTGCGGGCGAAAACTCGGACAATCTTATTTGAAATACTGTAATTTCAGAATAGTATTTTTTTTTTTATTTGAATATGAGTTTTGAATTATAGAGAGTTGTGGCCTTTTAAATTTTTTTTTTTTAGTAGAAGGCAAAATGGCGTAACATGAAAACAATCTCAGTCATGAAATTTTGGGAAACAAAAATTTCTGTATTTTGTGTTCGGATCCGGCCCAGAAAGTTTAATTTGCTCACCGAGTCGACCTGTTTCCAAAATGCTATGATACGTTAGACTGTGGACTTTGGGAGTAGAGTTGAATAAGTGTGACACACTGACATTCGCGTTTATTATATAGACGAAATCCAAAAGTATTGCATTATCCTGTTAAAGAACCGTAAGCCATTCACTGTCATTAAAAGGGATGTCCTGATACAGTCATTGTAGTCTGACCCTATAAATTCCGTTCGACAGTGAGTCTGGGTTAAATACTGAGGTTATGAACCCAGCTAAAAGGAAACAATTTTGCAACTGCGCAAATACGTTGTATATTGGATGAGAGTTGCGGAGGCTTTCCTAAATTTGTAATTACCTATTTTCCTGAATTCAAACTGACCAATGCTACCTAAAATTGTCACAACCTTGTGGTAAGGTTACAAAAGGCTGCAGATAAAACATCTCGCACTGGTCCATTGAAATCACATTATTAATATTTTCTTAACAAACATTTATTTTCGTATATTTTTTTTTATTGATAATCAAGTATCTAGATACTACAATTTATTATTAAATTTACTCGTGGAATGTATTACCGTTGTTGTGTTAATATAAATTAACAAGATAACGTATGGCCAACCTTACCTTGTAAGATTGATTACACACTGTGGGGAATCTAAAAAAATATATTTTAACCTCTATGTAACGTTGTAGAACCGTATCATTTCGTTAGCTATGCTAATTATTATCCGTATATATATATATATATATATATATATATATATATATATATGAAGAAAGAAATATAGTTTTAAGGTGGGCTGTATTTATGGGATAAAGTGCTCAATATCAGAGATAGTGCATATGTAAATATGAATATAAAAGTGAACATTGAAGTCAAACCTTAGAGACGACAGATTGTTTTAAGCAGGACGCAGTCAGGGCGGACTGACGATTGTCTCCAGCATGAAACAGCCTGTCGCCTCTTAGTGTTGACTTCAATGTCCACTTATATATATATATATATATATAGTATATGATTGGTGTACATGGAATAAATTTCAATAACTAACAATTACTATTCTTAAATGAGTGCTCAATACAGATTAGAGGGTATATAATTATTTATTTAAAATTGTAACATAAATATGTTATAAAATCACTACTTAATAGCCATGTTGAATGTAGAACTTCTGAAGGTCTTATCAATTCAACATCATGTTGATAAGGCAGAAAATTGTTGAAACAAAATGGCTAATTTTGTAGTGATTTTATAAAATATTTATGTTATAAATTTTGAAACAAAATAATATATATATATATATATATATATATATATATATATATATATATATATATATATATATATATATATATATATATATATATATATATATATATATATATATATATATATATATATATATAGTACAGGTAATATATCCGTTGGCATATAATCCAGGTGGATCCTAGAAATATAAAATATTAAAACTGATCCACAAAGAGCTCAGAGTATTTATTATAACATCATTCCAGTTATCAGTCATCTATTCATACGGCAGATTTTAGTGCCATTGTTTGTCCCTCTGACACTTTCACATATTTGTTCATATATACGAGTTTTGTAATATGCATTATTCATTTTCAATGTATTTCACCATCGTATTATTTATCACTAAAGAATAAAACTAAGCAAGTACGAAATCTAATGATAAGCTATGATGAACACGAAAGATGCACATCAATGCAGATCGAATCTATAAATTTCGAATCAAAATTGAACGAAATCGTTTTTATATACACTTCCTGCCATAATAATGTATCCACAATTCAGGAAAGTAAAAATTTGTATAGATATTGTAATACTAAATTTATTCAGAAATTAATTCAGTGATTCTGGCAATACGAAATGAATACAACTTACCTTTGCACTCTACAATCATAAGAGATGCTGAAAATGGTGGCTTTTATTTCCAGGCATCTATTTGTACGGCGATCTATTGCTTAGGCAACGTTAGCCAAAGTGCCCAGTGGATTTGCTGCACATACATGTTGAATGTCTTGTGTAAGGGACAACAATATAATGGCATCTATCTTAAAAATATAATACTACGGTAACGAGTGTTATCACAATTTGTTAAGTCTACTAAAGAAAACTTTTTCCTTCCATGAAATGTTTATATATATTTTTGGCGGATTCTATATTTAAACATAAGAGAAGTGCTTCTAAAACTTAACATTAATGCATGATTGTTTTCATAGACATTGTAAAAGAGAGAATTTATCTCATTGCAAATTTGTTGCAAATTGACAGTAAAATACAGAAATATATATATATATATATATATATATATATATATATATATATATATATATATATATATATATATATTAATAAAAAGAAAAAGAACAGTAAGATATATAATCCGATGTTCTTATTGATATTTTTTTTTTATTTTTACAAAACAGTGCTCAATGTAAATTTACAGAGCATGAATATTATGAATTAACTGATTTAAAATATGCTTTCTTCGCTACACAGTAATAACCATGTTTCAAAATCTGAAGTTAAAAAATTCAAATTTAATTATATAATTAATATAATATATATATTATATTATATATAATAATATAACTAAATCATTAGTTCTGTTTCATCATCAAGCGAATTTTGGAATAACTTATTTTTAAATTTACTGAGTTTTAAACGCACATATAAATTCATAATTTCCTGTTTCCAAGGATACAGAGAAAACATTTAGCCAAGGGCGGTAGAGTGTTCATTTTTATTAACTATTTTTGTATCAATAAGTTACGTTCGAAAAATGAGGTTAAGTTTAGTGAGGGTAGGGGTGTCTTTTTTAATGAATTATGACATCCGTTAAATGCATGTCGTCTGGGTTTTTAATGACAAAAAAGATTCTCGGCATTTTTTCGTTAAATTTGAACTTGTATACTAAAAGATTCTTTCTAAAAGGGTGTTTGTGTAAGAATAAGTTATATTTAACTAACATTTTAAACTATTATTTTTACTCTAAATTACTAATAGACTATATTTGTTTTTAAATCAAGTAAATGTTATAGAAACACTAAAAATTATTTTTTCATATCAAATATAAGTATGTATATTACCAGCTCCCACTTTTTTTTATTTTATTTTTAAATATTATTTAAGGAAAATTTTTGACAATAAGGGCAAAGAATGGGTATTTCATTTCTTTGATTCAGTAAATTTTTTATTTTTTATAAACTTAGTAATATATAGTTTCCCATGTACGCACAAGGGAGATGGGTCATTTAATGACCTACATATTCTAGCTTTTCTTATTAATTTTTATTTTACTGTAGGTGTTTTATTGGTTTCTTTTAACTGCCATATATATATATATATATATATATATATATATATATATATATATATATATATATATATATATATATATATATATATATATTTAAGTTACGAAGAACTTGGTACACCGAATGGTTAATTCCAAGGAGGATGAAATCCTGAGAGCTCAATGTTAATCCAGAGCTAATATTTAATGAAAGAACAGAGCATTTTAAGGTACCATTACAATAATTTATTTCACCAAAATCCTTTTTAAAGGATTCCGGATCATCAGGTAACAATGCCAACAACGAAATGAAAGGAAAAATGGGATTAGAAATTGATGGGTAGTGTAATTTTGTAATTTAACAGGGAGGGTGATAGTTGTAGTTAACGAGACAAGGTAGAGTATAGAGAGGGGTATATATATATATATATATATATATATATATATATATATATATATATATATATATATATAAATATATATATATGTGTGTGTGTGTGTGTGTATAAATTAAAATAGAGAATATAATGTAAAAACAGATATATATATATATAAATAAAAAAGATATATATATATATAAAGTAAAAATATAGAAAGATATATATATATAAAAAAAGAGAATATAAAATAAAATACAGAAATATATATATATATATATATATATATATATATATATATAAATTCAGATAGAGAATATATAAGAAGTAAAAGTACATACAGACATATATATATATAAAAGTAACATACAGAAAGATATATATATATATATACACACACATACATATATATATATATGCATTTGTGTGTCTATAAATTAAAAAAAAGAGAATATGATGTAAAAACACAAATATATATATATATAAAGTAAAAATGAATATATATGTATATATAAAAAAGTAAAAACATAGAAAATTATATATATATATATATATATATATATATATATATATATTAAAAAAAAGAGGATATGATGTAAAATACAGAAAAAATATATATTCAGATAGAGAATATATATATATATATATATATATATATATATAAAGTAAAAATACATATTCACACACATATATATAAATTAAAACACAGAAATATATATATATATATATATTCAACAGAAACAAACTATCCTTCCAAAACGTTATACAGTGTGGATTTTTTTTCTATTAATATGCATAAAATATGCTTTCAATTGAATCTAAACATCCTGTTGACATCAAAATCTCTTCTTAATTTAAATATTTAACGCTGCATTTGCTGCTGTTATACAAAACAGCAGTGATATATTAAAAAGGATCACGTAGAAAACTATATTAACTATTCAGGAAAGGTGAAATGAACAAGTTGAACATTAATGTAGATGACTTTACTGATGAGTTAATATCTTAGAACTCGAAACTTTAACAATGAGAAAAATCCATAACGCAAATTAATTTCTGTGAAGATACATAAAAAAATCAACAACAACAATAATAATCCAATTATAAATATTCTTGCCTCTCCCGTCGTTATTTGCCGCGGCTGTTATGTCCTGTCAATACCGCATAAATAATAGACTATTCTGCGTTTTGATCACGTGGGAAGAGGGGAAAAGTCCTTACTTGGTTTCAGTGAGAAGATGAAACAAAGAAATACAGGAAGATAGAGAATCATTTTAAGCTGATAAGAACAGATACTACACTTCGGTTACAGCCAAAGGGCCGAGAAGCGATGTTTTTTTGTTTGTTTTTCTTCAGTGTGCTTGTCGCTACCGAGTGTGGCACAAGTTCGAAATTTAGAATGGGTTTACTGGCAATACAGTGGGAAAATTGACCAGTATACCTCGACACTTGCTCTTTTTGGGCACACCACAAGCGCTGACAATAAACCCAGCTCTCTCCCGAAACAGAGGTACTGCCTGGGGGAATGTTTGAACTTTCCAAACCCCCAAAAAGGCCGTGAAAAGATGGTAACAGCGATAAAAGCAACATTTTTCAGAAGAAGAGTATCGATCTTTGGAAACCTATTATGACAAAAAAAAACTGTAACTATTAATAAATAATAGTTAGTAGCATTATTTTTAAATTAAATTATTATTAAGAGAAATGTTCGGAAGACGGGGATATGGCTTGAAAGATAGTCAGTAATAAATAAATAAAGAAAGAAAGAAAGAAAGAAAGAAAGAAAGAAGTGTATAACGGCTGCTTCAGTGAAATGGAAAAAAGATGTCAATTCAAATCATTTCATTTGTACTTAGCAGTCATCTTCATATTCCTGTTTATTCATGCAATATTTTGTTAAAGTGTTTAAACTCAAATATATTAACGTTGTGAAAGAGGAATTTCTGCGGATGTTTTATTACCAGAGAACTCGTCATGAGTTTATTCAATCATTAGCTGAAGAATTAAGATTCGTCAGAAGAGTAAAATATGAAAAAACGGGGAAATTATCACGGGTCTTATAATAATAAAAATAATAAATAATAATTTTAATAATAATAATTCATTGTTCACGTCGTAAATAAAGTCATTCTTTTCTTATATATCTTTTATAGTTACAATCAGTTACTCTTTGCGATATATTGCCTTTATTGTCTTGCTTGCGGTGAAATTATTAAAAAGAATTCCTATCGAATACATTTCCTTTGTTCTATCTTAATTTCCCTCACAAAATTAAGCCTTCCACTACTAACTAACTTCCACTCATTTTCTATTTATTTTCAACCAGCACTACAATTTCTCTACGTCAACTTTTGTATTCCATCATTTTATCCTCCCTATTTAAATATGCAATCATTTTCCGCCTTTAGCTCACGTTCTTTTTGTTTCATGGCTTCTTATTCTCCACCTTCACACGTCTGCTATCCTTTCATTTCTCTCGCTTGTATTATTTTCTGGTTATAAGCCGACATTTTTTTTTTTTTGATTACGACTGTGACGTAACTTGGTCCAGGGTTGATCCTTTGGTCACGGCACCAGTTGTGACGTGAGTTGGTCCAGGGTTGATCCTTTGGTCACGGCACCAGTTGTGACGTCTTTAATCGGGCGTGGACAATCCGTGGCTTTGTTCTGGGGAAACACCTTGCTTAAAAAAAAAAAAAACTAAAACTGCCCTTTTTCGTACGTGACCTAGATGACGCACGCGGTATTTGTCAAACAGCCTACCGCTAATTGGATACGATCTAAGAAAAGAATTTCCTAGACCTGTCGGCGTTTCTCTGAACGCAACAAAATATTTCATTCCCCTCCGGCCGATAATAAAAATCTGTATTATCTCAAAAGCGACATCACCCTGGGTGGCGTTAACGTGAACTAATAAAAAATATTTCACTTTTTCCCTTCGCTCGGAGCTTGACAACAAAATCTTAATTATCTCAAAAAGCATTTCTACATCACCTTGTGTGGCTATATTTTCAATTCTGGAATTGTCTGGGTTCTTGTATTAATGGATTGTCTGTATATCCTTAGATAAACTTCCCACCTGTTATCTATCATATTTTTCCATTGTCTCTAAACTTTTATTTCTTCAACCAAATTGATAACAAACTCCCATCCTCCGCGGACACGGAAGTAGGTCGGTGCTTGACCTGATATTTTTGACATCTGATATGTGCCAGTCGAGCGTGTGTGTTTTCGCTTACGACCTAGTTTCGTATTATTTCTTTTTTTTTTTTTCTTTCCTCTTCCTCTTCTTTTCTTTCTTTCTCCCAGATCGCCTGAATGTAAAGAAAGAATTATTCCTAACCTCGAAATATTTTTCAGCTCTAAATAATTATCAAATGGTTAACAAACCGAAAAAACAAATCATATATTTATGAATATCTCTTTTCAGTTTTCTAATTATGCATGGTGCCACACGACTATTTATTCTTAACTACCGTCTGTCAAGGAGGCTTAAGGTATTTTAACTCTCTTTGTCTTTTTAGATATCCATGTACGTTTTTCAAGATGGCAACAAATTCTTCAAGCACTCACTTATGTCTGTGCACTGTTTATAGTTATTGTTGATTTTGGTTTTACGTAACTTAAGTACAAGGCTTATAATAACGATTAATTAAAATTTCAGCAATAAATTTGGTGTTGATTAATGATTTACGAATAACGAGCGGCAATCATTTTATCGATAGCTTAAAGCTAGGACACAGTCTTCATCGACTGAAAGGGGAATTTCCCATTAAATTTAAATTGAAGTGATTCTGATGTATTGCGACTCACGATCATGGAAAAAAGTGATTTAGAACAGACGACAAATTTATTCTCTATTACTAATTCAAAGTAACTCATTGCAAAATGCTTACAGCGAGACTGTCGTTCAAGTAAAATAAACGTTGAAAAAAATCTTGTTTTGTAATAGAAAAATGCATCTAAACAAAAGAATATAACGAGGAAGAGGTTCATACAAAACAGAAAAGAAATCACTATGAAAATAATGAAGACGGAGGGGAATATCGAGTTCTAAAGAAAACGTGGTCCCTTTAAACTAAGAATAAGAATAACATGAATAGAACATATGAACAATGAGAAAGTTCGAAGACAAAGAGGAAATATAAAGAAAATGAGGCGACCAATGAGAAAGAACATATAACGTGAAGAAGGCAAAAGAAACAGAAAGAAACGGCATGTACGGTACTTAACTCATTTAGATTCGGCGGGAATATCTTAGATTATAAACGGACAAAAATTATTTAGGCCTGCGCATAATATAGCGGAGAGCTGCACATCCAGTGAAATGGCCTGACACATAAAAGATGATCTCTCCTTGAATGTTGTTTCTGGTTGTAATAAAATCTCATGACAAGGGGGCAATTCCGCAGGGAGACTTTCATTTCAGGAAGGGATTTCAGATATTAGCCATTAGGAGAATTTATGTTCTACTTATCCACAAAGTGAGCGCATTGTTAACTCGGTATCCGCGTATTGATATTCTGTCATTTACCACCTACAGGCAGGGATGTGAAGTTGAAATCTGTATGTATTTATGCAAGTTTCAATATATATATATATATATATATATATATATATATATATATATATATATATATATATATATGTGTGTGTAAATACTACATTGCCAGATATATGAAAAGATATATATATATATATATATATATATATATATATATATATATATATATATATATATATTTATTTACATAATTCGGACTATTCTCCTCGTTATTGTCGCCATATTTATTACAACGTTTCGGCCGTTGTACGCTTCGGTCTTCTTCTGGTGTTTGGAATGTCGAACTGAACCCTTTATTTCGCTCACTGGAGTAGACTGTTCTAGTTCCACGTGCCATGTTTAATGGATGGTTCTGCTTATATATATATATATATATATATATATGTTTGTGTGTGTATATATATATATATATATATATATATATATATATATATATATATATATACTACATTGCCCTAGATAGAAGACGAGACAGAAGACGATGTCCACTAGAAAAAGAGATGTGGTATATATCTATACATTATTTACATCATTCGGACTATTGTTCTTATCTTTGTCGCCATATTTATTACAACGTTTCGGCCGTTGTACGCTTCGGTCTTCTTCTGGTGGTTGGAATGTCCGACTGAACCCTTTATTTCGCTCACTGGAGTAGACTGTTCTAGTTCCACGTGCCATTTTTAATGGATGTCAGTTATCAGTTATCTCTTGTTAATTTTCCCTCCACAGTCTTAAAAAAGTTCTGAACTCACACTGTTTGGGTCCTATCACTGGATCTAACTAACGCATTTTATCCACCGTACCATGGCACATGGCACAGTGGATAAAGGCGTTAGATTGTTTCCTAAACACACACACACACTCGCGTGTGTGTGTGTGTGTTCTGAGGAATTACTGCATTTCATTTATAATTCAACATTATATCTTATTACAATAAACGCGATAGATAGATTATGATTCCACTCAATAATTCTCAATTCCACAGGCAGGTGCACATGAATTTTCTGTGTTAAAGAAAAAGCGTTATCTACTCAAAAACCTGCATGAACTCAATAAAAAGCCCAAAGCAATAACAATGTATGCATGTCTGTTTGTCTGTTTATCTATCTATCTATCTATCTATCTATCTATCTATCTATCTATCTATCTATCTATCTATCTATCTATGTGCGAGCGCATATTTGTTTCTGTTTGTGTGTGCTTGTGCGTTAATTGTAGTTAGGTTATACGTCAGTGATATATATTCATTATTATATTTTTTTATTTCATTATAGTTTTCACCTCGCTTCTTACTGTCACAACATTTCGACCATTCGTGTCTCCGACCGTTTTCAAGTAACTGCTCTATTCTTTACAGTTCACGGTATATTGGATAGAAGACATTTTTCAATCTATGATGGATAGTTCTCGTTCCACTGTCTATAATCGGTGACATTTTGTATGGATTAATTCTAATTTGTTATTTGGATCTTTCATCTTAATACATAGATTTCTTGTCATCTAAATATATAGATTTCAGAGCCTTGACCAGACACGTGTAAATATGGAGTACAACTAATATGCCAGAATTTCTATCTACTTCCAGAGCCTGAAAACTAATATTTAATGTTTCAGGACCGAGAAGGTGTACAGTATAGACTTAAAAAAAAGGTACCAAAGCTTCAAAGTGTCAATCCTTTTTGTCGTTCTCTCCACGAGTGTTGGCCTTCCGTCGAATATTCTGGTTTCTGTTCATAAGATTTGGTTACGCCAAAAAGTAGGAAAAGTTAATCAAAAAAATAATCAAACGATGGTTGGTAATGAACGATAATACTTAGCAAAAGAACAACACATATAAGATTCGACAGTGTTGAATATTTATATATTTTTTAAATTATATAATTATAGGAAAATAGCTAGTTCTTATTTATTTCGTAGTAATATCTTAAAAGATGGCCGTAATTATCATTAAAAATAACAATTAAAATAGATTAATTAAAAATGATGAAGTTAAAAATTAAAACTTAAAACAAAAGTAAATGTAAATAAAAGTAAATCAGAATAATAATTATAAAAATAAAACAACTGGAAATAGAAATAACATAGAAATAGATATGAAAAAAAAAATTAAAATGAAAAAATTAATCAAAATTTCAAATATTTCCCCAAAAATTTAAAAGTTAAAAAATTAAGAAGTTAATCATAAGCAGATATTTATTTCTATGTTGTCATCAATCCATTTCTCTCGTTTAATAAGTTATGCTTATTTAAGTGTTTTGAGTTAACTAGCTTTTAAGAAATCTCTAACTCCGTGATAATAAAACCTGATGTGTGTTGTCCATTGTGTTGGTGGCGATTATTTGCACCAATTCCTTGATATCGGATTTCCAATAAGTGCGGCTGGTTCTAAACAAGCCTTCACCACTCTAAACAAATCTTTTTTTGTGAATAGTCTGGACTTCAGTTCTGTATTCCTTCTTTGCTATTCCACCTGAGCAACAAGTTTACTGGTTAAGCTGATGGGAACATGTAAAGATTAAAAACTGAAATGAATGACACCCATACGTCAAAAACGACGGGAGAGTCCATCATATATATATATATATATATATATATATATATATATATATATATTGATTTAAAAAGGACTTTAGACATAGTTGTCTAATTGTAATTTTTCCTTAAGAATTTTACGATCAACACTTCTCCTGAAATATTCTTGGGACGAGACAGAAGACGATATCCACAAGAACTTAATATTAGAAAAGGGAAGGAAAATTAATTAGGGAACACGACTAAAACAATTTTATTAGTAAATATAATAATAACTGAATAAAATAGAGCAGTTCCAGTGAGTATAAAACAGAGAAATATTACTGCCGCCTTCCAAATAAGTTAAGTGCGTTGGCATTTGTCCTTTTAGCTTACATAGTCTCAGCTGTTGTATTTTAATTTACACTGGTTTCTAAAATTTTCAAGCGATGACCAGAACGTGTTCTATGCAAGATGGTTAAACAGTCGGATGTGTACTGATGTAAACAATCAGGATTATCTTAAAGGAACTGACCAGTAGAAGGCTGGTAAATGTAATTAATACTACTTATCTAAAAAAACAGAGTATTTACGTAAATATATTGTATTTATACAAATAACTTATAAACAAAAAATATATGAAATAACTGTCGCACTTAATTCAATTCATATATATATATATATATATATATATATATATATATATGTGTGTGTGTGTGTGTGTGTGTGTGTGTGTGTGCGTGTAGGTGTATATATATATATATATATATATATATATATATATATATATTATGAAATGGATTAAGTCCGACAGTTATTTAATATTTTTTCTGAGTATACGTATATTAATAGTTACAATTTATTTAAGTAAATGACAAGAATGTGTGTGTGTGCTGTGTGTGTGTTTATATCGACACAGGCAAGCAAATCCACGCTGTTTATTGCGAGGAGAACGAAATAAAATCGATAATTTTTACTTGCATATATTCTATGCCAAAATATTTTTCGCGCCATGCAAGAATACCGAGCCCCTAACAATTACTGGCCTGTTTCTTTTCTATCACACCCAGACTCCGAAAAGAGAAACATTATTTCTGAGCAGCTATCTCCGTTTTAACTGATAATAGCCTTGTTTGTTCTACTCATTTCACAGCAATTCTTCGTTTCTTTTCCCCTGTCTTTATCTTCAACCACGCCGCATTCAGTTCCTTTTTCCCGCGTTTTCTTTGTAACATCCGGTCAACCACAGAGAACCGGCTAAAACTTTCCATGCTCAAACTTCTTTGAATCCTTTATCTTTGAAGTATGCTGTGCGAAGGAAACGCAAAAGAAGAAAGGAACATCTTTATCTATAGTCAGCGATTTTACATCCATTGAAACTTAAATGTGCAATGCCTGATTTTGTCCGGGAATGTGCCGTCCGTCCAGTTTGCGAATAATAAAAACCTGTGCTTTATATGTGTTTATGTGAGGTGCACACCATATGGAAACATGCTGATAAATGATAACACCTATCGCTGAAAAAGAAATCATTGCTCCTTTTCTATCATTGTTTGAACTTCAAAATGTCCATTAGTTTGGAAAATGAAATCAGCAAATAAACTGAGCTTGGCGGCTGGCGTTTGCTTGTTTAAGTATTTCTTGTAAGCTACGAATCTATTAGGTTGGTGCAAAAATAATGACGGGATAATGTCGTTTTTCGACGTTAAAAATACGTCAGAAAACGACATTATTACGTCATTATTACGTCATTAATACGTCATTATTTTTGCACCAACCTAATAGTAAAACCTAGTGATTTGTGTTGCATCTTTGGCGGTTATTTGGCCGGTTAAATGCCTGTCTTTTAACATCTGTCACTCACTACACAGTTTTTATTACTTAATATTTCAGCATTCTTTCCTTTTTACTGATGACTATTTCCGATCCGTTCATAAAATACTGATCTTCTGGAAGACATCCTCCGCTTTTTCCACATAACTTCTTATTACTCTAATATATTTCCATTTCATGACACACTTAGAGATTTGTAGCTGCTCTGAGATTTGAGAATACGTCTTCGAAAATATCCAGTAATGTATTCCTATGTAATCATCAATATTGCCATATTTTAGAAGTTTTATCAAAAATTGAACAAAGAGTAC